GAGATCTAATGAATTCTTTTGCCGGCGAACCTGTAAGCGCCAGCTTTTATTATGTACCCACCAAGAACTACGATTCTGGGGAAGATTTCCCGGCGCCAATGAAAAGAATAGTTCCACCCGAAGATATATCGGTACACCCTATGTATGGACGAAAGTCTTCCAAGATAGCTATGCCGGAATACCCCGATATGCCGATTTACAATACCAGACCTATACGTAAGTAACCATAAATGATTTAAATAAGTAATATTGTTTTTAATTCACTCAAAAACACAGAGCAGATTTTAAAAATTCGGATTATTAAATTCTCAACGATATACTAATAACCTAGGCTTTATATGTTAGAAATATGAAATACATCTAACATGTCCGCATCAGGTACGGATATTACCTCTCCAGCAGACTGGATGAAGTTCTTTCCAGTTATACCTCGCGTTAATTTATTCTGGACCTAAAGCTAATAACGAATGTAAGCAAGAGAAGATTTTATTTTAAAATTTAGTTACGATTGACTCAAAAATTTTCTGTTACTGTCAAGTCTCCAGGGAGATAGTAAAAAAGATAAATATATGAATTTTTTGCAGCGGATCGTAGACGTTCAATGTACATAGAAGAGCCTTTGTATGCTCCTCACCCAATGGTATACGAAACACCGTACGCATACGCTCCACCTCCGGATTATATGACGCATAGACCCCGCATGTCATTAAATCACCATCCGGACTACATAATGGCGAACCTCTACAACAAGCATAGAAGAACATCCAGGTTTGTACTCAATATGAATTCGTTATTGCTCAAAATGATTCGTCATTCAAATATTGCGTGGCCTGTAATGAATATTAAAATATTTTAATTAATTCATAAACTGTTGATATACTACTGTGTGTTTCATAACTGTTTTATTATTTACGGACTATTTCATTTAAAAACTCCTTTAGCTTTCTTTACGCTATATTTAGAAGACAACAAATTAGATTGTATCGTTTAAGAAATTTTTAATAACTTTACCGCCATTTCTTCGTGTGTTTTCTTTTTCGATCTAATAACTTCGATAGCTTTAATTAAGTAGTGTTTTTTATTATAGGTAATTGGCGTAAAGATAAGTTTAGATAGTGTTTAATTTTTATGATTAACTTCATATTAATTTGAATCTAGACGTCAATATTTAAGATCGCCGGATATAGTCATAAGTATTTTTGAGACGCTAGAATTAGATGCAGGTAAATTTTAATACCACATAAATTTTAAACAAACAAAAGTACGTTGTTTAATGTGTTTAACAAAAAGAATAGGGAATGAATTTATATCACTCACATTTATATGCGTGTTTTCATTTAATCTAATCCATAGATATTACTGTAGTGAAAATGCTAAGTATAATTGTGAAGACGGTAATGGGCGACGTCACGGCCACTAGCCACAACATCTGAGACGATGCACGTTGTCGAACGACAAGCGATATAAAACACGCGAATATTTTCACGGTTAAAAGACACCCTAAGATAATAATTGCTTGAATCCTTTTCGGCTGAGGATGCTCTGATGTGAGTCCAAAGTCAACCTTATATCCGAATACGAAATTACTATTGATAAACTTATATTATATTTTGGGAACTGCTTTCCATCTGTGGATAACTGTTAAATAATTTTGAGACAAACAGATCTTTCGATGTTTACTTAGACAAGGTTCTAATTCGATAAACATAAAATACTTGGTTAGTAGAACATTGAGCATGACAACTTATGGCCATCTCACCGCTAGTTCGATTGCATTGTTGGTTCTATTCTGGGCGCTGCTTTTGTTTGCTTCTTAAAATATCTACTACGCTTTAATTACAAGCGTGTGATAACTTTAGGTCCGTAAAACGCCGCTGTGGCTACTCAGCGTGTGAATGCGTCAGTTTTTGCTCGCTACAAATGAAAGTTGCATCTGTGGGAATCTAGCTCGTTTCTTGTTTACGCAGAGAAACTTGTTCCTAGCATTGACCTCTGTGCGTAATGAAAATATGTAACAATAAAACTTAATTGTCATTGACCTCTGGGAGCAAGAAGTATCCCCAGCTTAATGACAAAAATTGCGGAAGAGTGCAACTCATAAGAGGCGCCTAATCTTTGAATCTTGTATTGCCCTGATTGATGTCAAAACTGGTATTACATTGTGATGGAAGTGTTTACTACAGGCTATGAGTCTCCAGTCGACAAGTGAATCAGTAAACCCGAGACACTATAAGACAAACAATGATAACAGTATTATTTGTTTACTGTAACATTTTTAATACCAATGATCAATCTAAAGCAATCAGACATGTGTTATGATGAAGAATATAGCTTAGGATATAATAAATGTTTATATAATATATTCCCGCCTGTATAAACATATAATATAAGACCACCTGTTTCTCACGTTTAATTAAACACGTAAAGTTTTCAATTCGATACCTTTGTAGGAAAAAATACAAAACTAAAAATGAGTTTAGTAAACATATCTCATGTCACAGTATCCTGTTTTTAAACATTCGCGCTATGAATACGCATTAATGATAAACATTTAGGTAATCGTGTGAATTTGAAGTTTGCACTTCCACAGGCCTAGAATATAATAATCATCTCCCCGACCTTATCCTACTCCCGTAGGATCGGCACGCCGGGTTTTCGTCCTCCAAATAACCCTATCATACGTCACCTAAGCCATCACTTCCTTCTTGATCATGTCGCCTTTCACGCAATCCATCCATCTCTTTCAGGGTCGACCTATAGACATAGGCTATAGTCATGTTTTATTTTATGTATTTAGGTGGTATAGTATAGTCTACTTTGGTGTATACCCTCTCATCCGTGTCACTGCATCGTAATCGTACTTATTAGATAACCATCGGCGCTTCTCTATGACTTAAGACTTCGCACTAATTCGCGAACGTTACGCGAATTCAACTAGTTCTACTTTCTAAATGTACCTACTCAAAAAAGTTTCTTCGTAATCCATGAATTAAACATTTTTCATATTTATATTTATGATTATACATGCTGTTCCAATGTTCAAATTCCATAATAGTCTATACCAACATTTTATTTATGAGAAACTAGCTTGGTCAGAGACTCCTTCCGCGTGTAATTAAAAATGAAACAAAAGTAGGTATGTGTTCTTCCAGACAGTCTATGTTCTACATCTGTGTCAAATTCGTCATTTCATCGAAATCCGTTCAGGCGTTTAGTAAATGATAAACTCTGAAGTTATTAGTACAAACACGTTGGCTAGAAGAAATCAGGGATAACATTAAATTCGTCGTCCCTATTTTGAAAACTGCTATTCAAATTATCTAGGCTCAATATGATATAGCGTAATAACAGGACGTTGTATATTTTTGAAATCATCGTCAATTTGTATGCATGCGTTCGTTTAGTTGCGCGAGTTATGCACCGACTTGACCTGTTGATTTACATTACTAATTATCCTTTGCGCATACTAAAGACTACACGCATGCTCTACGAAATATCAGATTGTCTTGTAACTGGATTGAAAAGGATGAACAAAATAACCACCTTTCTCCATATACTTTTGATTTTACTGGTACCGTCTGATTTTTAAAAGTTCCTGGAAAAAACTGGCAAAGGATTCGTTTGTATTTAGACTTGTTTGTATTAACTATTGCTTGTTTTCATTAAAGGATGGCAGAGGCATACGAGCAATGCGTTTACGAAAGTTTGTCGCCGGAGTACGAAGATTGGGCGCGGCCGTTTCCTAAAACGGCGCCCGACAACTTCCATCTTTCGAGGTACGGTCATTTGCAGATCGACTATTCCTGCAGCTGGAATTCACTCGATAGACTTATTCGTAACCATTGAAGATCAACATTTTACAACTGTTTAACAGAGAGAGTAGGCTGTGGTATACATTCCATAAAAGTCGAAGATACCAGATTGGTAATAAGAAAAAGAAATTTTAGTTTTATAAAATCGTTATTGTAGGCATCAATAACTAAAATTAAATTATAAAGAGTTTTAAAATATATTTTATTTTTAACAACTTGCACAAACAAAGATGGCTGCCACCACAGACTATGTCAACACTTTCGTTAGCGACGCTTTGGAGGGAAAATGCAATAACGATGTCGCCGGCAAGGCAAAGTGAAGACACGTGTCCAATGTATACATAGAAATAGTACGTGCCTATTCACTATGTTGTGTAATATGTTGGATAACAAAAGCATGTGTTGTGTAGTCTATAACGGTTTAATATTAAAAAGAGTAAATCGTCACATCAACAAACGATGGTCGAGAAATAAAATGCTTCATGGAGTTGATTTTATCAATAAATGACAAATTGTTGAAATATCATCGACGATTTCTTAATATTATTAACATCAAAAACATTAACAGAAAATAAGGTAGAAACTGTCCTATGTTTGTTATGCAAAAGTCTAGTTTTTAGTACTGTATTGAAAATTTTAGAACGAGTATTTTTTTGAATGTACCAGATGTGACTTTGGATTTTTTTAAAAACCAAAAGATACTTTTACTTAAGTTGACTTATATGAAGCAGTTTTATCATCTATTTTAGCTTATATTTTTTAGTTATTAAGCGTATTCACTAATAATTATATAAAAAAAATGTTTTAATCATGTATTTAAGATAAATGTTGGCCAAAGATAATAAAAACTATTAATTGGATTTTTCTTTGATTTACAAAAAACTTACCTATTTACGTCTATTATTTTGAAACTTAGCATAAGTTACACCAATATATCCATACTTAAGTACATTGGTATATTGGTAGCGGTATCACTATCATTTACTACACTTCAGAGATATCGTTTTCTTATGGTGTGGTTAACTTTCGTTTAAATCCATTAGCTGGAGAGCTGGAGAGTTAAAACAAGTGCATACAAGCTTATTTGAAAGCATTTACTCAACACTTTCTAGTTTGTAGAAAATTGCTTAATGTGATCGATAATTTAGAATTATCCACTTTATCATTATTTCATCATTACTATAAGCCAGTTATTCAACCTTTTTCAAGTAACATTTTATGTATGAATACTTACATTTATAGCTACGCATATGCTTCTGCCAACTGCCATAAATGCAAACAATGAGAATATGTTCTCACCACTCAGCCACTATACCTACATTGATTATGTCAATCACAGTATATCTTTATAAATATACACTAGCTTACGCCCGCGAATCCGTCCGCGTGGAATTAAAAAAAAGTAAGTAGCCTATGTGTTTTTCCAGACTATGCTCTACATTTACACCAAATTTCATCGAGATCCGTTCAGACGATTGGGCTAGAAACTATAACAAACATCCATCCATCTAAACTTTCGCATTTATAATATTAGTAAGATTCTTGGAATTAAAAAGTTGCATTAAATTGTCATATTGGCTATGAATTTAATAGGCAGTGTTGCATCTTTGATAAAAATCTCATTTTTATGGTAATGACTAGAAAGCATATACACGTCTTAGACGAATTATATTTACGCTTCAGAAGAACATAAGGTCATGACGTAACTTGAAATAACGAATTTGTAATTATCATAACATAGTTTTTTTCTAGCAACATCGTAACGCATGTTGCAGCGACTAAATTAGAAACGGCAACGAGCAGATAGGGCGATTACAATTTACATTAATGTTACAAAATGTTTCACATTTATTAAATTCTTGCTAATAGCGACATTTTTAAACCATTCAAGGTACAGCTAAAGGTAAACGTTAGTCTCTTAACGAAGTAAAAGCGCCTATTTCTAGTATAATCAGTAGGTACTAAAACTCATTAACAGACATGGAGGTAAAGTTTACATTTTGGTTTGTAGTTTACTAAAATTATCACGAAACTGCAAATTTGTTGAACTTTGAGGACTAACCAAGGTCAATAATTAACAGTTTTGAAATGAGAGAAATAAAGAACAATGAAATCAGATTTGCATTATTTTATCATTTTTTAGATTTGTAATTTGTTAACGTTGTGTAATAAAGATAAGCAAGTAAGGTCACAAAATTTACACTATTGAGCAACCGAAGACAGTTCCTCCAAAAGACAAGGTATCTATTGTAAGAAATTATAACGATTTTTGTGAAAGAAAATTTACGGACATAAAATTTTACTTCTTTTCTTTTTTTGTGACTACCAATGGCCAGCAATTTCGCAGTTTCAAGCCTTTATAGGCCCTAACTCTTAATACATACTCTGTTAGGCTTATGATAATCGTGAGAATCTTTATTCTCAGATAAAAACCTATGTCGAAGATGTACGATCGAGAATGTTCTTTAAACGGAAGTGAAAGTGAATACATTGCAATTGCAGACATTTGGAACGTGCAGTTTATTTAAAGTTTTATTTAAATCTTTCGATTTAGATTTAAGAATTAAAATGATTTCTATGGCTTATATTAAACTAGTTGTTGCCTGTGACTTCGTCTAAGCTATGTACTGCATCTATACCTTATTTCAGCGAGATCTGATAAGCCGTATTGGCGATACTGAGTAACAAACATCTATCCATCCATCTAAATTTTCGCATTTAGAATATTAGTAAGAAGTAAGATTTAAAAGGAATAAAGATGGAAATTGGTATTTATTAAAAGTTGCAAGAATTTTATTTGGTTAAATAATGAATTAAAAATCTTGGTAGTCTTTTTCGCTGTACAGTTTACGTTTCTTGGTTATTTCAAATTGTCCTTTCTTCTTATTTGAATTTGCAGTAACAGGATTTACATCACCGTACGTGATTTGAAGAGAATTCGTTGATCTCTGCGTATTAGTCAACATGTTTCTTGGCAAAGTTTTCGAACTTCCTTGCATTTGATTCAAATCCACATTGTAACTATCAGATGTTTTTCTGTTTACAGAATACGGACGTTCTGCAGCCACGCTGTATTGCGTTGAATTATTGGCTAAGTATTCTTTGAATTGGTATTGTTTAAGTTTCTCTTCCAGGTCCGCTATCTTCTGTAAAATCATCTTTATAATAAGCGAAAGGACGGAAGAGACAATGTAAACATTGTGTTAAGTCATCTAGTGCAGTGAGATCGGAATTACAAGCGACAGGTAAATCAAGTCACGGGTTTAAATGGCGAAGAATGTCATGATATAGCACTTTAAATTTAAAAATTTAGTTACTCTAGGTTTTTATTCTTTTTTACCCAAATTACGTGCTATCGTAAAAAAATAACAAAGCGCATTGTCCACAACAAAAATATCGAATGTCCAAGATCTCATCTTCAGAATATTCCGAACACAATAAGATCTAATCAACCTTTTATTTAAGATATAGGAGCACACAGAGATAGCATCGGTTTACCTAATGTTATTTGATACGACGAGTACGTCACGGGAACCGTAAATGAGTTGCCGGCCTTTAAGAGTGGGCTAGACTTTTTTCTTAAACGCCCCTAAGTACTCACTGGTTTTAATACTAACCTAGTTGTCAAAGTTTAGTAATAAGTATATACTCACCCTGCGGTAAGCGTCTATGTTAGTATCATGCGAGGCACTCTGTCTAGCCAGTTGGTCCTGGAGTTGAGCGTTTTGCGCCGCATTGCGTTGCATCTTCTCTTCATATTCTAATACCATCGTATTCATCTGTGTGGAGTCAATTGTGAGTAAAACAAATTGATTACTAAGTTTTACAATAAAGAATAGCAGAAGCATTCATTTAGCTATGAAATGGCGAGCGAATCGATGAGTCCGGAATATGTACTTACCTTAACAATTCCAATTTGTATGGCCTTAAGCTATAAGAGAAATAAAAATCTTACTTTATCACTGTGCTCAGCCCTAGCTTCGTTAAGTTCACTCCTAAGTTCTTCGTTTGCACATCTATATTGAGCAACTTCAGTATCGGCCACATGTTGGATTTGGCGTACTTTTAAATCAGGAAAAAAGTTATTCGTAAACAATCGTACAAAAGTATATCATCACATAAATTACTTAATATTATAAATGCGAAAGTTTAGATAGATGTTTGTTAGAGTTTGTAGCTCAAACAGCTGAACGGATCTTGATGAAATTTGGCTTAGATGTAGACGATAGTCTGGAAGGACACATAGGCTATTTACTTTGTTTTTTTTTTCTATTCCACGAAGACGAAGGCGGGGAAAGCTAGTACCTAATATTATCAAGGGGAATGCATATACGATGTTAAAAGTTTTAATAAAACTTACTTTTATTCTCGTTCTCAGCTTTAACTTCTTCTATTTGCGCTTCGTAAGACATGCGTAACTCCATTAGGACCTCCTTTTGTTTTTGGATTACTGTTTCTTTTTCCTCCATAGTACAAACATACATTTTATTGATACAGCTGTTTGCACGTAAATTTAAACTTATAAGTGGCCTTCTTTCGTTATGCGTAATAGGTGTCACAATTGTAAATTTGATTATAATTCTAAGTGTTCCATTTCGATGGAATACTCAAGAATTAAGAGAGAGTATTATGTGTTTTAATCTAAAAGCGAGAGAGGTGTCAAGATCGTGACAAATAGAGGTCCCTGGTCTCTGTTTACGCCTTTGGGTTACGGGCGTTACGTGTCGTTGTTGTAAAATTGTTCTAACTACTAAAGACTTTCAACGGTCAATAGACGATAACATACCTTTTTCAAACCAGAAATTGCACAGTCCTTGGCAACAATTTCGTCGTTCAATTTCTTTGCTTCTCTCTTAAGATATACTAACTGTGAGATCGTTTCCTGGAGGTTTGCAATCATTTCACGTGTGTTTTGCAACTGATAACGCTGAGACTTTGCTAATTCTTGGTTTTCTTTTAGTTCCATTTCTAGTTTTGTGTTAGCTTCTCTCAATCTTTTGCACTCCTCTTTTTCATTAAAATATTCCTGTTTGAGTAGTTGTTATTTGTTTAAAACGTTCTTTAATAATCGCACAATACACAAAACAAAATAAAAAGCCCTACAATTTTGCATTTAGAAAATTTGTCTATTATATTTTTTAGGCGCTCGTCGGTATAGTTTTTGTCCATTTTATTATACAATATTCATTGACTTTACTTATTAAGCTTACTAAAAGAATAACTATAAAAAATCAGACGGGATTATAAAAGATAGCTTAACCGAATTATTGTAATTGTGAATAACCCCAAAGAAAACGAATTGATAGTTTTGGCTAAAATCCGCGCCACTTTTTTTTCTTTTTTGGACAAAGATCAGAGAACCTTTGCAAAACTGGGCCAATAGAGAGGCTAGCCATTCTGCAAAAAAAGTTCAGTTCACTTGTATAATTTCATTTTCTGATTAAATTTATCATTGACTTGTTAATTAATTTAGTTAATAATAAAAATAAAACAATGCAATCAAAATAGCAGGTTTATTTAATTTTCTGTTAATATTGCATAACATTTAGGGCCTGTCCCACCACTGGCTGATAGGGTCAGATAGCTTAAACATGATGTCAGTCAGATAAGGGAACAAAATACAATATTTCCATCACATATTTAACA